GTTGGTTATAGTGACAGCTCACATGCGACTGATCGGGCAGATGGAAAGAGTACAACTGGGATGATTTTCTATTATGGGGGTGGTCCGATAGCATGGTGCAGCCAAAAACAGAACACGGTTGCACTATCTTCATGTGAGGCTGAGTTCATGGCGGCAACGGCAACCGCATGTCAGGCTGTCTGGTTAAAAGGATTGCTCGAAGAAATCACTGGCCAAAGCATGGAACCCATAACAATTCACGTGGATAACAAGGCTGCAATCATGTTAATGAAGAATCCAGTGTTCCATGGGAGAAGTAAGCATATTGACACTCGATATCATTTCATTCGTGAATGTGTCGAGAAAGAGCTAGTAAGGATTGAGCATGTAAGTGGTGACGAGCAGAAAGCTGATATCTTGACCAAAGCATTACCGAGGGTCAAGTTTATCAAGATGAGGCAACTGATGGGCATTGAAGATTTGGCAGGAATGAGGACTGGAATCAAGGGGGTGAATGTTGGTTAATTCCAGTCCAGAATATAGTTTAAATTTAAAAATAAATAAGTAAAAAAAGGGCAGGCAGTTAGGCAGTTACAGGCAATTTTGTGACAGTTTCCAACAGATGTGTTGGTTAGGAACTGTTGTGTCTATTTGTAATGGTTGTGTTGTTTAGTCCTCTATTTATATGTATGGAAACATAGTTCTGGACAGCAGTTCCACAATAAAAAACACTTTGTTTATATACTCCAGAGTCCAGGTCTGATTTTTATTCTCTCAATTGACACTAGTGATATTCCACTAGTTCCGGTAAATAATTCAGTATTCCAGCGGGTGTAATCGAACGAGCCGAGCTGAACTTTAGATATTTTGAGTTCTATTCGTGTTTTAGCAAGTCGAGCCCCAGACCCTTTTACTCCCTCTATCCCAAAATAATAGTCCACATGTAATTCGGCACAAAGTATAAGAAAAGTGAAATTTTGTGGTTGAAAGTGATGCATTGAAGAAAGAATATGCGCTACAAAACTTTTCCAAAAATAGAAAAAGGACTTTTTTTGGGACTTCCCAAAAAGGAGATAAGAACTATTATTGCAGGGGTATAACTTATGCACGAGTCATGACTCGCAAGCTCACTCTAGAATAAACATGTTGGATAAATATGAAATGCAAATTAAAGAGAATTTGTTATCGATTATTTGAATTTGCTTCCAGGCAAACAAGTGATCCCAGAAGTGGTTTTGCTACTGTCGAGAAGGATTTTCCTGGGAGTTTAACACCGATGCTCGGCGATAAAAAGGTAATTTCTACTTCAGACCTGTTTGGCTATACTCTCTAAAGGATCTTCCAAGTTTCATTACTTCCATATCTGATCTTATTCATTTACATTATCTCTGAGTTACACAGGTTGAGCACTTCCTGGGAATAAAGAGAAAACCCGATTCTAGTGGGGACCCTGCCTTGCAAAAGAAGCCTAAGAACTGATTGGCCAGTGTTTCGCAATGCACTTTTGCAACTGGCCTTGAACACTACATCCTCAAGGTGAATATTGTCAATCTTGTCGCCAAGTTCAAACGTTATAACCAGAAATTGGTACTCTACAAGATTGTGTAGTTTTGTATTCCTCCCCCTCCCCTCCCCCCCCCCTTGGGATTTTGATGATTGAGTCTCATGTTTCCTTTGCTACACTTTGCTTTAAAAAATATATAAATTTGAAGTTGTATTTTCTGAACATCTCTGATTCGCCATTGCACTCACAAGTCTCTGCTTTGTAGTTTATTTTACGAAGTACGGAGTATGTTTTATGGAAGTTTGTGATCTTCTCCTTATACATACCTCTTTCTGTATCACTGTTTGGCATCTGATCTAAATACGGAGTAATAGAAGCACAAGGCTTTATTTTAGATCATAAAATTGTTTGCCATATAATTACTTACTCGAGCATAAAGGCTCGTGGCTTGACATGGGTACTTGTTTCTCTATTGGAAGGATAATGTTACACTAGCAACAACATGTCACACCAGTTGCTATACCAGTCATTATCTTCTGGTCACATTATTTTCTCTCTCGAAACCGACTGTTGGGTGGATTGCAAGTTAATGCCACAATTCTCACAATGATCCAACGATGGGTTTATAGGGAATCTTGCCACTTAAATTTTAGACATTATATTACATTGATTTTAAATTGCATGATTCTCGATGATTTTATTGTTGGATCATTGTGAGATTTTAGGGGGATGATCTAACACATTATCCTTTCTCATTATTTTAATTGGTTGCTAGCTCTGTCTTAGAGTATTTATCCAATCTCTTATTTTTATGGCCAAAATTGATAAATTTTGGTCATTAAATTAGATTAAATTTATATTAGATATTGATATAAGAATTATTTTATTAGATTTGACTTATAAAATGTTTTATGAAATTTTTATTTAATTATAGGTCAAAGATTAATTCTAGTTACCCGTGACAATTCAAAATTGAAGGAGTATTTATCACTTGATGCTTTGTATTAGTCTTTGGCTCTATTTGACATTGATTCAGTTTGGCATTAATGTCAGAGATTATCGTTACCATTTTGAAAAAGGCTATTTGATGAGTCTTTAGTGTTAGCGTTTTCAGAATTATAATACACCATTATAATTTTATCTAGGATAAAAAATGTTGTTTCGAAAGGCCAACTTTTAGAGAAAGCATTTACGTGTCATTTTTTGGGCCATCGTTTAGAAAAAGAAATTACCTGTGGCTATTGTCATGCTGGTCAATGGTCATCACCTTCACCAGTGTAAAATGGTGCTAAAACCAAACTAAAATTCACACAAAACAAATGCCTTGTCCCTACTGCTAACCTATAATTTATCCAACCATAATACACAAAACAAAATGTGTATATATTATGAAGAGTGAAACTTACTATCTCCAACACAAAACAATTCAAGGATGAGAGCAGCAGCATTGTTCTTCCTCGTCCTCGTCCTCGGACCGCCCTCCACGTTAGCGGTGGAGGGCCACTGGAGGAGGCCGCCTCCGGCCCCAATGTGTGCTTCTCAGATAACACTAGTCAACCACGCGTGTTCCTTTCTGATGCTCAACCCCAGGAGCCCTCCGCCTTCAGCGTTGCCCCACCATCCGGTGCAGCGGCACCACCTGCCCCACCACCACCACCACCCGCCGCCGCACCACGTCCGCCGCCACTCCCCAGAGGAAGAGATTTGCTGCAGGTGGCTGAAGGAGGTGGATGACCAGTGTGTTTGTGACATGCTGGTGAATTTGCCTCCTCTTCTTGCCAGGCCTTTGCACCAGTTCACTGTTAGAGTTGGTGACTCTTGTCACCAGACCTACCGGTGTGGCACTCCCATCACGATGGATTAATGTTTGAGGAAACTTTTCTTTGTGTATGTCTACTATGCATGTGTACTATATGGTGTACTCTCAGCTCCTTTCAGAATAAATGAAGTTTATACATGTTTCATAGATACTAGTAAGATTATGTTCAACTACATTTTTACTTCTAAAGGTTTTCTAAGTGAACATTTAACTTTTCCCATCCAAATAATGTTAGAAATATCATACAAGAGAATAGTCTTGATTGCGATATCTTGATGATTAGAATAATATCCTTGATTGGAATCAAATTACCAATCAAAGATATTTGATTAACTTCCATTCACTTTCCTTGATTGTCCTCTTAATTTACTTTGTAATATTTATAGGCATCATTTGTGATGTATTGAATAAGATGAACATTTTGCTGTAATTTCATTCTATCTATTATTCCTAATATGCTATTAGAGCCATCATTCGATCAAACGATTGAATGAAACGCAGCTTTCATCATCTACCATAAAAATAAAAATAAAAAAATGTCTGATCAAACTCCAGAGAGCTCCACCTACACAGGGGAGTCTGATCCGATGAAGCAGCCCGTCAATCTTGCACAAATTTTGGAAATTCTCCAAAATTTCCAGACTTTAGCACCCAAGGCCGAACTTACCGAAGCTCCTCCAATCAGCCGTTAAATTTGGCGGAAAAGCTCAATGATAAGAACTACGCCATTTTAGCGCGCAAGATGATCTTGGCTCTAGACGGGAGAGGTCGGCTCAAGCACATCACTGTCGCACCTCTCAAAACCGATGATCCCAAATATATTAAGTGGAGGCAAGCAAATTCAACGGTGATAACTTGGATACTCGAAAACATAGAGTCGGATATTGTAAATCAATACATTGAATATCCTACTCCGTAGGATTTGTGGAAGGGAATCGAAGCCACGTACGGCTTTAATTTGGAAAGGATCCCGTGCAAATCTATGACTTAATGGTCAAGGCCAGCGAGATCAAACAAGGAGCACAGTCCCTGGAAAAGGTCTATAGCTAGCTTCAAGCAGTTTGGAGACGCCGACCCAACCTAATGAAATGCCCAGAGGATATGAAGATTTTTACAAAAATTCAAAAACAAAATCATCTATATCAATTCCTACAGGCAGTAAATGAGGAATTTGATGCCGAAAAACGAGACATACTCAAAACCGAGCCTCTTCCATCGGTAGAAGAAGCATACGCCCAAATCCGAAGAGAGGCAGCAAGAAAGGGGATTATGAAAGGAGAAGGGGGAGGATCATCATCGGGAGAATCTCCCTCAAATCGGCGGTGGCCTAGCGGCCACACGCGCGACGGTGCGATCAGAAAATCGCCAATCGTCATCTCGCACATACGAAGATAAATCACAGTTAAGATGTACCTACTGTGGTGGGACGAAGCACACGGCCGAAAACAATTATATATACTAACCATTTTATTCATTATCTAAGAAAACTTCTCTCTTAGAAATTGTGCTTAAATTTTATTCAAGGGCTAATAGCACATATGCTCCGTGGATTCAAACGGAACACCAAAATCTCATATATTTTCAAAACTTATTTGTAAAATCCACATAGTTTTTAAATTGTACACACACGCCCCCTAACCTATCTTCAAACTCAAAAAGACACTTATACCCTTATTTCTCTCTATCATGAAATTTTTACTCTTTTATTATTTTTACTTTTAATTTCCTTGTTTATGTAATTTCATATTTCTATTTTTCATTTTTTTAAATCCCAAAATTTTTTTTAATTTTTGAAAATAAATAATTAAGTAAAAACTTTTAATTTGAGACAAAGTGAGATTATGTTTTTTTATTTTATTTATTTCATTTTTACTTGAAATAAAAAAAAAGGTAGTTTTTTTCTTTTTCCTTCGTTATCTTTTTGTATTTGTTTTTCTTTTACTCTGCACATAGTATTTTATTTCATTTTCCTATTTTTCATTATCTTTTTATATTTGTTTTTCAAATTCTGTTTTGAAAAGTAAATAAATGATTTTTTAATATGAAATAGAGAGTGCGTTGTTATCTAATTGTTTGCATAAACCAGAAAAATCATAATTAAAGTAAAAGGCCGATCCGATTGGCAAAAAGGAGGGCATAAAAAATACTCCCTCTCTTCCTGAAACATCTTCTTCTTTTATTTTTTCTGTCCCACAAACTCCTTCTCTTTTCTATTAAAAAAGAACTTTTACCCCTTACTTTTTCATACCCTACCTATCACATCATACTCTTTTACTAATAATCTACCCATCACATCTTACTTTTATCCATCACATCAAATGTATTTTTGGAAAGTTAATACCAAAATATCACTCCCTTAATTTCCCAAAAAATCAATAAAAGGGAACTTCTTTCGAGGACGGAGGGAGTATTATTTTAAAAACGTAAAGGTTTTACAAATAACTTTAAAAAATAGAGGAGGTTTTAGTGCTTCTTCCGGTACTATTAGCCCTTTATTCAAGTTAAACCCATACGGGAGTAATTTTTTACGTGCACATGAAAAGACCCATGTACAAAATAATTAAAATCGAATGTGGAATTGTGTGTGTGCAACTTTGTTTGCTAACTTTCCTCTCCTTCCTCCCTTTTCTCTCTGTTATAAAGCTAAGGTGGTAGGAATGCTCCTAGCCCTCATTTCAGTCCAAGTTCATCCATATTTCTTTTGATCAATTTCCTTTTGTACTGGTTCCCTAAAAAATAACTCCATTGATACACACACAATTTGTCCCCTACCTTTATTTTATTTTTTTTGTTCACTCTTTAATTTATACATATCATATTCATCTACATAGATAGATGATGCTTCAGATTTCGTACGAAATTTGAAATTTAGCACACAAAAAATGAATATTCGATCAGGAACACTTAGAAAGTAAATTAAGGCCGGGAAAGAATATTTCAATTTTTTTTGGGTAATTTTAAAATTATTAAAACATAATGGAGTGGAAAAAGGGTTACTTGGATGTGATTTTGGTGCCCATTGGGTGTTTAATATGCATAGGGTATCATGTTTGGTTGTGGCATAAGGTCCGGACGCAGCCGCTCACGACCATCATTGGAACCAACGCCGTCGGCCGCCGTTTGTGGGTCTCCGCCATCATGAAGGTAATTTTAATTTGCTTCTTTTTCTAGTCCAATTTTTTTCACGCCCCGTTTGGTACACAGAATTCGAATTATGGAATTGGAATTGAGGATTTCAATTCAAATTCTAGTGTTTGGTAGCACAAAAATTATGTGGATTTAGAATTGGTAGTACAAAAAAATGAATTGAAATTGGTGAATTCAATTCTATTGAATAGAATCCCATGGAATTTTAATTCCAATTCAATTCTAATTCCGTGTACCAAACAGACCCTCAAAGTTTCAAATTTTTATTTTGTATGTTTGTCTCAAAATAACTTTTAACCATATTATTTTCACGTTTTAACACTATTATTTTTTAAATTTATTTGAAGCCCGTTTAATTTAATTTAATTTGGGACGGAAAGATAGCATAATGAGTTACATCAATAGTATTAGTACTGCCTGCTCTCTTTCTATGATGTTTTGGGTGGGGAGAAAACCTCCATTAAGTAAATTTAACTAATAGAGTTTATTTTACCACATCAGAACTAAATTTAACCTCCATTAAAATACCAAATAAATTTAACTAATAGAGTTTATTTTTTTGCCACATATATATTTTTTAGTTTTCAAAAAAAAATTAGAGTTTATTTTAACACATTAAACTATTCAGTTTTGGTGGCGCGCGGCACCTTACTCAAACTACTCAACTACTCAAGTATTCGGTATCTTTTTTTTAATTAAAAAAATACATTTCATTCTCCAAAAGGTGAAATCACTCACCCCCGACCCGACGAGAATGTGAGAGGAGGTAAATCACGGTGACTCAAGCACAACACTTAGCTAGACCATATCCTAGTGCGCACCAGAGACTCCCCCCATTTTTTCAGAGGTGGTCGCCTCCACAACGGTCGCTGCCAGGTTTCGATCATTGGTCATTCTCCAAACTTCACCAAGTGTTTGCCACTTGGGCTACCCGTGCGGGTAAAAAAAATACATTTCATTAATTAATACTGAAGTGTTTCATCCATCCTAGAATATTTATTCTTTCAAAGTCGTGTTACATGTCTGTATGTTAGTATTAATTGTTTGGATAGCTGTTTAGGGGGACTATCTTAATTAGAAAATAATTAAGTGTAGTTTAATATTCCGTATTAGTCTTAGCATTTAACTTTAATTTATAAAATAGCTATTTGACGATAACATTTAGTTAATTTTAGAAATATTTGCACTAAATAGCAATAAAACTTAAGTGGTTTTTAATAAATAGCAATTAAACTGTTTTATTCCTTAAATAGCACTTAAAATTTAATGTTTAGAAAGAGAAATAATGTCCGGTGATGACGAATATTTACTTGAATAATGACTAATGGATAATGACTAAAAGTGATACATTGGAAAAAAACATATATAATACTATTTAGAAAAAGTCATTATGTTTAATTAGTACTATTTAAATAAATTTCCCTTAATTTTATTGTCCATATGCATGCTTGCTTGTAAGGCGGGCTTTCGGTCATCCACATGGGTCTCATCTCCCTAGAGCTTGTTTTTCATTTAATGATTTAGTAATGAAATTTTTAATTTTATTAAAAAAATTACACTATCATTAAAAATGAGAGTACTACATAACATTTACGTGATTGACCTTTAACGATGTTTCCGAAATGGACAATGTACAGAATCTCATTACTTTTAAAATCATTTTAATTAGAAATTGATATAAAAATAAAAATTACGCTGCCAAAAGTTCTACAAAATAAAATGTGACAATAATATTTTATTTTATCAAATCATCGATGAAAATATGCAAATAAACAAACGTTATTCATAAGTCATAACAGTGAGAGTGACAAACACTCTGGAAACGGAGAGAGCACTTTTTTTGTCCGGGAAAGATCTTCTCATGAAATACCCCAACTACTCTAACTTTCATTATTTATTACATGACACCCTATATTCCACCCACTTTTAGTAAAGATAATTTGGTAAACGTTCACCTTTTACAACTTCTATTTTTGTTCATGTTTTAACTTTTCATCTATATCATCGTTTTTGTTATACAGGGCATATCATATTTTATCTGTCTCATATACTTTGTTCGCCCTACAACGTTCTTTATATTTTCTATTTGTGAATGTCTAATCTCAAAAAATACTTTATACTCTATTTTTATTTTAATAATGAATAAGTGGCTACCCAAATTTTCTCTCCACCTCACAATTTTTACTCTTCAATAGCTTTTCTTTTAAATTTTGTAATTAAATTCAAAGTGTCAGTGACTTTTTGGGACAAAGGGAGTGCCCTTTTTTTTCATTCACGTATACGTCAATATCAACAACAGAATACGAAAGTATTGGATAATTGGGTTTTATATAAGGATTGCAAAACCTAGGCGTTTGCCCGCTCTATACTTCTTTCACTATAGATGCCCGGCCGGGCACGGGAGAGTATTCGAATGGATTAGCAGTATCCCAGTAGATTAGGAGGGGAGTACCAAACCAAATAATATTCTACTCCGTATTTCAATTGGATCGCTTGAGGTATCCATTAATTCCACGGCATCATGAACCATGACGTAATTCATTGTTTCTATACGTTTAAAATACTCGGCATTAAATTAGGAAAATCTAGTTCACCAATTACATAAAAATATGAATGCATACTTTAATGTTCACATTTCAAATGTAGACTTACTCACACTTTTTATGGACTGACATGAATTTTTTTTATTTTTTTCAAAAAGCTCAATCCATTCATAGTATTCATATACAAAGATTAATAAAATGAGTATGGACCTTAAGAATGCAGAAGAATTTTCCTAATGAAACAAAGTAATATATTTGAAAGTTTTTTTTTTGGAAAATAAACTAGAGGAAATAATTTTTATAGTAATGCATAATGTAATTTTTATTTAATGTATAGTCAAAATTGATTCAGTATAATTTGAAAATGTCAAACTAGAAAAATAGTCTAGGACTGACCTAGTATTATTCAATACGGTGTAATATTTTAGTTGTGGAGTTTTTGTGTCATTTACGTTTGAACTCTCCAAAATATTATACGGAATTTTCATCTAAACTTTAAAAATTGTACCAATAGTCTCCAAATATTTAAAGACGTTATATCAATGGTCTCTTTAATTGATGGACTAATGAAGAGAGTAATCAATTGATGAAGAGATTGATCAACTTATGCCCGGGCTTCGAGTTCGAATACCGATAACTAAAGTGAAAATAATTGTCTAGGATTTCAACAAGTAAAAAATTAAATATAAAAGATAATATATGTGAATAGCATATTGCAAAATTAACATGTGATGTATGATCACTTTAGATGAATTCATACTTGCATTGGACGAGCGTGTATGCACTCCCAAAGCTGTAGGGATGACAATGGGTTGGGTTTTAGTTGTGTGAAGCTTCGCCCTCATCCATTTATTAACTCTATATCCATCACTCGATCCATCCATCATCTATTACATACATCACCCATCATGTGAGCCATCCATCAATCCCATCACCCGCGGGTGAAAATGGTAAAGCGGGGTGAAAACGAGTGATATAAGAAATAATTTTTTACCCAGAGTAATCATTAATTTCATGAAATAAATATTTTTTTGAAGCATGTAATATATAAAAAAAGTTATTGAAAATTAAGAGATTAATGATGTTTGTAATTAAATCCTACAATGATACAATTTTCAAAGATACACATAAGGTTTTTTTAATAAATTGTTACATTGGAATGTAGAACAAACTTATGTATGTACTCAACAAAGCTAATATTTTTAATTTTAATCTTTCTCAAAGTAAATATGAATAGGTCGGGTGATGGGTAAGAAAAACTTCAACCCGCATCTGAGCAGATCCATCGTTAGTCCATCCATCATCCTCTTTTTTCAGATTATTAACCATTAAATTGGGTCGGGTGGTTCGGTTATTCATCGGGTCAGGTAGAAATTGTCATTGGTGCAAAGGGACCATTGACGCATCATTTTCAAATGTTCAGGAGTCATTTGTACACTTTAAAATTCAAGAATATATAATTTGCACAATTTTTAAAGAGTTCGAGAGTAAATGGTGCAAAAAAACATTTTAGGTGTACTATGACTCTAAAACTTGAATTATTTTGTGATTGTTTCATCTGTCTCGATCAAAATAAACTTCTTATTTTCCTTTTTGTTGTCTCAAAGTAACTCTTTCTTTCCTTTTAATACATGAACTGAGTATATAAACTTGTATCTCCTTGGTATAAATCTCTACCACAAAATTTTATTTTTTAAAAATTTTGTAAAAAACATATGAGAAGTTTAATTTGGGAAAGAAGGGATATATTCTCCCGTCCGAGTATATTTGTACAGTTTGACCTTTTGGAGTCGAATGAATAAACTTTAAGTTTCAATTAAATAAAATCATAATGTATATTTGTATAGAAATGATTTTATTAGATTTTTCTTGTTGAGAAATTTTAAAATTTTATTTTAGTATATTAATATGCAAAACGAATTAAGAATAGTTCAAGCTTAAAATTTATCAAGTTTGATTTAGAAAAAGTCAAACTGAACAAATACATCAGAACAGAGGTAATATTAATGGTTATATTGTAATTAACAACCCGACAAAATGTTGGATTATTCAATAATTATATTTAGATCATCATTTTAAATACGGAGGACAACATTGATTATTTAATGAACCCTAATTCAATATTAAAGACCACATTGTTATTGATCTGTGCTTTCTTGTACAAAGATCTACATGAGAAATGTGTACTTTCTCACGCTTTTGACGAGCTTATAAGTAGATCTTTTCCGTTTGGCCTTGTTCGAGAAGAGCGTTTTCAATTAGCGTTAACATTTTAGATAAAATATTAACGGTGTAGATTAATTCGAAAAACGCTAACGCTAAAGGCTACCTTCAGATAGCATTCTCAAAACGTTAACGCTAATTTCTAACGCTGATGGCAAATTAGTATGACCAGACCCAAATTTCTTAAATATTTCTTTTTTAATTCTCAGTTGTAGACGAGCAAATATCTCA